GTGGGAATCCCCTCTGTATGCTGTGAATGCCATTGGTTAATAAAGAAACTGTCTTAGGTCTGTGATAAGGTAGAAGAGAACTAGTCAGGGAAAACTAAACTGAATGCTGGAAGAAAGAAGATGGAGTCAGAGAGAAACCATGAAGTTGTCAGAGGAGACAGACATACTGAACTATTGCCAGTAGTCCACGAATCTCCTGGTAAAATATAAAATAATGAAAATGGGTTAAATTAAGATGTAAAAGCTAGCCAATAAGAAGCTAGAGCTGATAGGTCAAGCAATGATTTAATTTATACAGTTTCTGTGTGGTTATTTCAGGAGTCTTGGCAGATGGGAAATGAATAAGCGGCCTTTTACCACACAAATCCCTTCCCTCATCTTGCTCTAAGCCCTGCCATAGCTCAGAAAGTACACCATATGATGACTCCCTTCCCCAGAGATGCTCAAGACCACTCCCACAGAGAATTTAAACTGCCCCCCCAGGAAGCAAACATGTGGTTTTCTGGTCTCTCTTTCCTATATTCTCCCAGTGGGATGGAGAGTTGGAGAATCATCCGGGAGTATTTTGTCCATTAAACCTAAGCATTTTCTTACTCAGTTTGATTTGGTCTGATTTGGATTGCTGCATTTGTAGAGAGGTTTATCCTGGTACAGAAACATTTCAGTGGCTAGTGAGTGTTCAGATCCAGGAGGGTGTCTCTGCTTGAAAATTGTGGGCCTGGGTTCCCTTGATCTGTCCTGGCTTCTGGTAAAGTCATAGTCTTCTTCTAAAGTTGTAAACCATGATATGAAGCCCAGGGGTGGAGATGCAGTCTGGAGATGTAGGGCAGGCTTAAAGTGGTTTACTGGACATTGTCTTACCTGGGGTCCCAGGGCCAGCCTTGCCTCTGGTAAAGCTACTGGAGCTGTGGGCTCCAGTATGGAGCACAGGGTAGGGAATGCAGTTTGGGATTTGGGCACAGGCTTTAAAGATTGTTAGCAGGCAGTAGGCAGTGTCTTACTTCGGGTCCCTAGATCCTACCTGTCCTCTGGTAAACCATAAGTCTTCTTCTGAAATTATAGGACAGGACCCTAATTATTAGATATACCCAGAGACCATACTCAGTTTTGTATGCACAGTCTGTTACTAGTTTCACCGCTTTGCACCAATCTGGTCTTCAATATTCCATGAGGTTATTTTGGTAATATAATTCTTTCTAAAATATCTAACATAGCTATGTTTTTCTCTTTTATTTTCCACAGAGATCTTTGTAAATAACCACATGTGATCACCAGTATGTAGAATAAAATCTTTACTAAAGGAACTAATAAAGAAGAATGAGGCAGGAAAATGCTGGGGCTATAGTCCAATGGTACAGTACTTGTCTAGTATTTCCAAAGTCTGAGGTTCAATCCCCAGCACTGCAAAAGAAACAGCAATAAAGTCAACAGAAAGAATCAAAAGATAAAAAGTCAAGTTGATGCTCTACAAGAATATGATTTCCAATTTTTAGGTTATTAATACTATGTGACAAATATACTTATGGTGTCCTGTGGTTCTTTAGATGTCAAGATTGCTAACAATAATTCATCTTGGATCTCTCTTAACCTACCACCTTATAATTCCGCAGCAGCTCCATCCATTCTGGCTCTAAATTCTTCCCCAAAGGATTTGTGAGGATCAAAACTTGCTAAAGGCCCCTTGAAGTTATTCTGGTGGAGAGAGAGAGAGAGAGAGAGAGAGAGAGAGAGAGAGAGAGAGAGAAGTTATTTCAGGTATAAGAGGCAAAGTTGAACGTGTAATGAATAGTGTAAAGGACTCCATGTCTCTGCTCTTTGAATCTGAACTTCCTTTTCTTTGTATATCATTTATCATATTCTATCACATCCTCTTCATTTTTTTTCTTGCATGTAAACAATTTAAGGTAAAATATTTACTTTGTTCACTTCACTGTTCTGTCTCACATGTGCAGAGTTTGATTAGCACATTACAGACACTCATCAAATGTTTTCTGAAGGAATGTGTGTATGCGCAACAAAAAAGCACCATTTACCTTACCTTAATTTTAAGAATAGGCAAACTGTAGTCCCTTGAGCTGTACTATATTCTCATCTTACAAAAACTGAAGTGATTAGATATATTATCTCACTAGGATCTCGCCATTTCTCACTCCAGGTATAATGAAAAACTAATATTTGCTTCATGGATTTTGGCTCTGGTTATGGGAACAAAAACCTACAGTTGACGGTTTTTGTCGCTGCAAAACATATCAGACCCCTAAATAAATGAAAGTTGTCCTAGAAGTGAATGTCAGAGGAAGAATTCAGTTGATAGAGTCCTGAGACTGAAAGACTGAGGTCAACATGAGCCAGTCTGGGCAATGATGGGCCTTCTTAATGACACAGTTCCTCTCAAGATATGGCAACACTGACACAACACAAGAAAAGTAATGACAATGGGGCTACCACTGATTTCCTCTTTTAGTCTTGACACAGGATTTATCCACAAGCAATTGAAATAGATTTTGTGTAATTTCTTGCAAACTTGCATGTACGAGAACTGCCAACTGCTAAACAAATATCACATCATTTAAATCTTGATTTTTTTTAAAAAAAAGTAAAGATTCATCTAGCTCTTGTCTAGTCTTTCTGTTTTTACTTAAATTTTTTATACAATATATTTGATGATATTCTCTTCCCTATTCCAAGCCCTTCCCATTCTCCGCTAAGAACCCAAATTCATGTTCTTTCTTTCTCTGATAAAGACCGAAAACCCAAAGCAAACAGAATTTTAAAAAGCACACATGAAAAAAACATGGAGTCTGTTTTGTGTTGGCCAGCTAGTTCTGAGCATCAGGCCTTTCCTGGAGTGTTGTTAGTATACAGTTTCACCCTTTGAAGGAAACTGTTTTTTTCTTTCCCAGCAACTTGCAATTCCAAATAATGTCTTGGCTAGGGGTGAGACTTTGTGCCCACTTCCCTTTCTCCAAGCTGGGATTTATCTGACTTCAAATCATGCAAGTTCAGTGCATCTTGTCACAGCTCCTGTGAGTTCATAATCGTATCTGTCTTCTTTAGGTCTATAAAACACTTTTTCCTCAGAATCACCCACACCTCTGACTCTTAGAATCTTTTTACCTTCTCTTCTGCATAGGTCCCTAATACTCTTAATGACGAGTTGTGATGTCCAGAGATAGTACGTTGCTCAACCTTCAAGAGAGACTCTTTAGGAGATGGTAATTAGCACCAACACAAACAACTAAGCATTGTACAGAGACTGAGAGACTCTGGAGCACTCAGTCCTAAATAGGTGTCTTTGTTTTCTTGATTTTTAAGTTATTTCTGGAAAGATAAATGATAAATACACCATGTCCCTTTTGTCTAAAATAGCAGTCCTCAACCTGTGGATTGCAATCCCTTTGTGGGTCAAATGACCTTTACATAGGGGTCACATAATCAGATATCATGCATCAGTTATTTACATTATAATTCATAGCAGTAACAAAAATATAGTTACAAAGTAGAAACAAAAATAATGGTTGAGGGTTAGTACAACATGCGGACCTGTATTAAAAGGGCTCACTCAGTATTAAGCTTGAGAATCACTGATCTAAAATGTTCTGCTGAGTTTGGTATTGACTGAGATTCCTAACTGGGAGTTTCTAGAACTTCCTTTATCTTTCCAGAGTTTTGAGTCATTAAATATTTCATGTTGGCAACCAGAAGACAAGATTAAGCATGTTATCTTCTTCAAGTTCTCTTTTCATCCTGGGACTGCAGGCTTTCTATTTTCCTCTTGCTGAAAAGGAGGATATGTGAAGTAGGAAGTTGCAGAAGAGTGACTAAGTCTCAAGATATCTGAAAGCAGTAAGTCAGGTACTTGACTTTAACATTGAACAAATTTCAAAAGCTCAAGCCCAGATAGTGGTTTATATAAAGTGGAAGAGCCCTCTCCAGTGTACTCAGAATGTTTGGGGGAAATGAATAGGCACTTGGACTGATGAAAAACATTCCATACAGTCATCTACCAATTGTTAGTGCTTATCAACTATATCAGCAGAGAGAGATGGAAAGAGAAATGTTAAGGTATGAGACTGTGGTTTTTGGCCTGATTTCTCAAGTAGAAGAAAAAAAAAATGTGTCCTCAGTTACCAGAGCTAAAAAACCATTTGAAAATATGTTATTTCTGAGGCAGAAAAGGATAACCAAACGTGAAGCTTTCAAGATGAAATAAATTAATGAAATTGGAAATAACTTCTATCTATTTCCTAGGTAATTTTCTCAGGTCGAAGAGGACTAAAGCATAATTATGTAAGAGAGATCAGACCTATAGTGAGCTGTCTGGATCTTTACCTTGTAGACTTACCTCTCTATATAAATTTTCCCAGGACAAGAGGAAGATATATAAGAAGACAGAGTAATCTTGCTTTGTATCCCAAGTCACTTATTTGCAGATTACTTATTGTTCCTCTATTACATGTCAGATCCTATAGGAGGTATCAGAGATGGAATATATGGCTTCTTCCTGTAGGTTATAGTCTACCAGATAGAAACCAAACAACAAAAAGGAAGAAAAGACACAAAGAGAAGAAATAAAAAAGATGCCAAATTACTTAAAATTATAATGATATAAATGCCTATTATAAAAAAAGAGAGATGGAAATAGAAAAAAAAAAAGGAAGAACCTCCTTTGAGTAGGATTCTGAGAAAGCAAATATTTCTTTTTTTTATTCATTTTTATTGAGCTCTATTTTTTTTTCTCTACTATTATCCCTGCCTCTCCCCTCCCCTTTCAACCTTCCACAAGGTCTCCATGCTCCCAATTTACTCAGGAGATCTTGTCTTTTTCTACTTCCCACATAGATTAGATCTATGTAAATCTCTCTTGGTGTCCTCATTGTTCCCTGGGATTGTGGTTTGTAGGCTAGTTTTCTTTGTTTGAAAACCTCCTATGAGAGCGGCAGCGGCAGCGGAGGCAGCGGCCAGGACTGGGCACTCGGAGCGCTTCGGTTGGCCGCTCTCAGCTGGGTGCGTCCCACCCGCTCCATGGCAGGAGCCGGAGGAGGCGGCTGCCCGATGGGCGGCAACGACTTCCAGTGGTGCTTCTCGCAAGTGAAGGGCGCTGTCAACGAGGACGTGGCGGAAGCCGACATCATCTCCACCGTTGAGTTTAACTACTCTGGAGACCTTCTTGCAACAGGAGACAAAGGTGGCAGAGTTGTTATTTTCCAGCGGGAACAAGAGAATAAAGGCCGCACTCACTCTAGGGGAGAGTACAATCTTTACAGTACCTTTCAGAGTCATGAGCCAGAGTTTGACTATTTGAAAAGTCTAGAAATTGAAGAAAAAATTAATAAAATCAGGTGGTTACCGCAACAGAATGCTGCTCATTTTCTACTCTCTACAAATGATAAAACTATTAAATTATGGAAAATAAGTGAACGGGATAAAAGAGCAGACGGTTATAACTTGAAAGATGAAGATGGACGACTTCGAGACCCATTTAGAATTACGGCACTACGGGTTCCAATATTGAAGCCCATGGACCTTATGGTAGAAGCAAGTCCACGACGAATTTTTGCAACTGCTCATACATATCACTTTAATTCCATTTCAGTAAATAGTGATCATGAAACATATCTCTCTGCAGATGATCTGAGAATTAACCTATGGCATTTAGAAATCACAGATAGAAGCTTCAACATTGTGGACATCAAGCCAACTAACATGGAGGAGCTGACAGAAGTCATCACTGCCGCTGAGTTCCACCCACACCAGTGCAATGTGTTCGTCTATAGCAGTAGCAAGGGGACCATCAGGCTGTGTGACATGCGCTCCTCTGCCCTGTGTGACAGGCATGCCAAGTTTTTTGAAGAGCCAGAAGACCCCAGCAGTAGATCCTTTTTCTCAGAAATAATCTTGTCTATATCTGACGTCAAGTTCAGCCACAGTGGTCGGTACATGATGACCAGAGACTATCTGTCGGTAAAGGTATGGGACCTCAACATGGAGGGCAGGCCTGTCGAGACCCACCAGGTACATGAGTACCTGCGAAGCAAGCTCTGCTCCTTGTATGAGAATGACTGCATCTTTGACAGGTTCGAGTGCTGCTGGAACGGTTCAGACAGTGCCATTATGACGGGGTCCTACAACAACTTCTTCAGAATGTTTGATAGAAACACGCAGAGGGATGTTACACTGGAAGCCTCGAGATGAGTGCCGCTGCTGAAAAGAAAACCTACTCGAAGCTGAATTGGTGGACTTTGTTCAATAAAGGCCGTTCCTCAATTGTAAAAAAAAAAAAAAAAAAAAAAAAAAAAAAAAAAAAAAAAAAAAAAAAAAGAAAAGAAAAGAAAAAAAAAGAAAGAAAGAAAGAAAAGAAAAAAAAAGAAAAGAAAACCTCCTATGAATGAGTACATATGATAATTGTCTTTCTGTGTCTGGGTTACCTCACTCAAAATAATATTTTCTAGCTCCGTCCATTTTCCTGCAAAATTCAAGACGTCATTATATTTTTCTGCTGTGTAGTACTCCATTATGTAAATGTACCACATTTTCCTTATCCATTCTTTGGTCGAGGGGCATTTAGGTTGTTTCCAGGTTCTAGCTATGACAAACAATGCTGCTATGAACATAACTGAGCACATTTCCTTGTGGCAGAATTGAGTATCCTTTGGATATATACCCAAAATTGGTATTACTGGGTCTTGAGGAATGTTGTTCCCTAATTTTCTGAGAAATCACCACACTGACATCCAAAGCAGCTGTACCAGCTTGCATTCATACCAGCAATGAATAAGTGTTCCCTTCCCCCCCCCCCAACTTCTCCAGCATAAGTTGTCATCACTGTTTTTGATACAGGTGTAAGATGGAATCTCAGAGTTTTTGATTTGCATTTCTCTGATTACTAAGGATGTTGAACATTTCCTTAAGTGTCTTTCAGCCATTTTAGGTTCCCCTGTTGAGAGTTCTCTGTTTATATCTGTACTCCATTTTTTATTGGATTATGTGTTTTTTTGATGACCAATTTCTTGAGTTCTTTGTATATTTTGGAGATCAGACCTCTATCTGATATGGAGTTAATGAAGATGTTTTCCCATTCTGCAGGCTGTCATTTTGTCTTGTTGACCGTGTCCTTTGCTTTACAGAAGCTTTTCAGTTTCAGAAGGTCCCATTTATGAGAAACAAATATTTCTGAGAAGAACATTAAACAAAATTGTGGGAAGACAGAAAGACAAAATTATGTAAAAAGTGTGAATGCTTATGCATGATAGTACCCAGGTATTTCAGCTAAAAAGGGAAATTGTGCAAGGGCTCTGAATCAGATATGGCCATTTATTTGTGCAACTAAAGGCCAGTAAGTGTATGTACAGAGAGAGAGAGAGAGAGAGAGAGAGAGAGAGAGAGAGACAGAGGCAGAGACAGAGACAGAGAGAGAGAGAGAGAGAGAGAGAGAGAGAGAACAGATCATACGCGAACTGAAGAAGAAAGAAAGTCCTATAATGCAGGGTGAGGAATATAACGTTTTCTCTAAACACAGTAGAAGAGTACTGGCATGTTATAAAAAAAAAAAAAAAGTAACATTGTCCAGTGTGGATTTTAAGAAGAGCATTTCTTTGTGTGAAATGGATTTCTGTAAAGGGTTGACTTAGGAGGAATATTAAGAAGTCCCAGTATGTTGAAATAGGAGCGGCGGGGCTGCGTCCCCAACACCCCGGCCGCTTGGCTAGCTCATGCCCGAAATAACAACACACAAACTGTATTCATTTAAGTGCTGCTTGGCCCATGAACTCTAACCCTTAGAGGCCAATTCTCGCATCTGGAATAGCCCATTTCTAATGATGTGTGTAAGCACCCCAAGGTGCGCTTACCGGGAAGATTCTAGCCTAAGTCCATCGTGGGTTGCAGCTGCCTGGGTGAGCAGAGCATGGCGGCTGTCCGGTCCCTCTGGAAGCAACGCAGAGTCTGACCTCACTTCCTCTTCCACCCAGCATCCTATTCTGTTTATTCCTCCCACCTATGTTCTAACCTATCAGGGCCAGCTAAGCAGTTTCTTTATTGCTCAGCCAATGAAATCAACAGATTGATATGACACTCCCACATCACCAGTAAGAGATAGCAAATAAATAAAGACAGATAACAGGGTTTGGAAAGAAGACAAGTCCAAGATTAACTTAAACCATTCATTTTGTAGAATTTATTGAAGTTCTGAATATGACCGATGATATGAATATGAAGTTATCAACTGACTGATGTTAAGGAATCTCAGACTTAACTGGAATGCAAAGGTGGGAGGATATATGGAGATGCTGGGAGGAACTGATGTACTCAGCTAGTTACTGGTGGAGTAGGTGGAGGACAAGAGATCCATCACAGTGATCTAACAAGTGGGTATGATCGCCAGGAGCAGATGTCCAGTGTATAACTGCCTAAGTTCTTATGGAACAGAGAGGTCTAGAAACCTCGAGAGATCAATGTATCAGTCCTGTGTTATGCTTGCCACATAGGCATGAGGTCCTGAGTTCAATCTCTAACACTCATAGAAAAGTATGAGGTGTGAAGCGGGTGCAAGACTGGTATCCCAGCTCTGAGGAAACAAAAATAAAAGCCTCCCTGGGACTTACTGCTAAGTCAGTATAGCCAGTCCAGAAGTTCTGTGTTCACTGAGAGACCCTATCTCAAAACGAAGATATAGAGAGACAGAGGAAGATACCAACGTCAACCTCTGGCCTCCTCTGTCTCCTCCATTAGCTCTTTTCCTCTCTCTCTCTCTCTCTCTCTCTCTCTCTCTCTCTCTCTCTCTCTCTCTCTCACACACACACACACACACACACAACACACACACACACACACACACACACACAACACACACACACACACACACACACACACACGGGGTGGTGGAGGTGGATCTAGGCTAAGTAAGAATGGTGTAGTCAACAGCAAAGTACCTAATGAGATCCTCGGGAATTATACCTGGATTAATTATTGGATACAAGCTGAACTTACTGCTATTACCAGCATGTAGGTCTCTAGGTCCTTCTTCTATACCCCGCTTCTGGCAATGCCCTTGACCCTACTTTTCCTGTTCCAGTTGCCTGTTTTGGTATGTGCACGGCATCTGCTTCCCTTCAGCCCAGACCCCTCCTACAGTGCCTTAAGTAGGCATTCTAGAACTAAAAGCTGTACTTCCTAATGACAGGTTATTAGCCTTAATATTTTGATCCATTTTGCTGACAGTGTATTTTTAATTCTGATAAGAATGTGAGCAAAAATTACATGCCCAGATAATTCCCAAAAATAAGAAAGATGGTATGGTTCACTATAACAATTACACATAAGATAAAGTGCCCAGAATAGCCAAGGAAATGGTAAACCTTCAAATATTACAGCAAACAAATTTTTGCCGGATATAAACATGGTCATGTTCACTCACTCCAATGTCACATACATTTTCACTTGTAGTCCCTTCGTTTATTCCCTAATGACCCCATGACTGGACACTGCCAGTTCTTTTAAAAACTAGGGTTTTTCATATCTAAAAGTTGCGTTCAGCTCCTCCAACACACACAGTATTTCTTTGAGGAAACAATTCAGGATGCCTGAGTCATTTCATTTAAAAGAACATCTTAGTCTTTCCTGGCATTCTGCTTCTTGTTAAAAACTTCAATGTAAGTGACCTGAATTTTTGAACGCTAATGTTTCCTCATTACCATAAAATCATAATCATTTAAAGGCAGTTGAGAGTAACTTAACCTTAAAGAACGGATGCCATCATTTTCTGATTGATTAGCTCAGCTTTCGAGAGCCAGTCACCCAGAACCAGTGTTTCTAATAAGGTAAATTTTCAGAAATGGGATCTGATCTATATTTTCTTGGCTCTCTGAATACAAAGCAGATTTTGTGGGCTGCATGCCTAATGAGTCACCCTTGTTTTTCATGAAAAACATGGTTTTCCCGTACTGTCACATTTTGCTCTTGACTAGTGAATTTGCATAAAGTGAATATATTACAACTTGGATGTTGTAATTAAGTTAGTTTAATTATGAAAGTCACACCAATGCCTTGGGGCTTTCATGAATCTACAATGTCTCCAAGTATTTCAGGGGTCTTACATCTGATGTCCCTATGGAGTGAAACTTTCTTAGCTGCGATACTCTAAGATTCCTGGAATAGAAACATGTTTACCACAGAACAAACAAAACAAAATCCTAAAGCACAAGGTCTCTTTGAGAAGAAGAATATAGAATAACACAGAAAGGGACAACTTGAACTGATTAAATATAAAGTTGGATTGTTCTTGACTCTGAAGTTTATTCAAATTTTATTCATTGCTTTTTATTTAAGCCAGCTCCTAATTAGCAGTCACCAACTAACAGTTTGTGTGTTTTAGTACCAAGTGAGGCTACCGGCACTTACAGTGTGGGGATTACAATCATGGTGTCAGGTGTTAACAACATCACTATGCTCATGGTGAGATTTCATTTATCTTTCACCTATGAACTTTCCCATATTCCTCTCCTATGCAGTTTTTAAGTGCACACTGTGTTTTAGGCATTTTCCTAAAGACAGAGGGGGAAAAAAGGGAATCAGGCAAAGTGCCTGCTCCCATCTCTTTTATATTCTGGTGCAACACACACACACACACACACACACACACACACAAATAAATGCAATAAGCTGGTAATGATGCTTATAAATGCTGTGGGGGAAATAACTGGACTGCCGTAATAGAGCACAATGGTGATCAATAGCAACTTGTTTCCTTCAGCTGACTAACCTTCACACAGGTTTATTCTGGGCTCTGATTTACCTTTATTTTCATTTTCTTTTCTTTTCTCATCTCATCACCTCGTGCAAATACTTTCTCTTTCTTTGCCATCCAGCTCCCTGAAAGTTTTACTGCAGAGGGTTACCTTTCTCAAGAACTGGTGCCATCCCTTCCAAATGCAACCATTAAGAATAATAGGACTTGATGCCCTAACCTGTGAGTTAAGATGAGTAAACACCTCCACCAATTAAGAAATACAAGTGAGCCAGACAGTGGTGGCACATGCCTTTAAAGCCAGCACATGGGAGGCAGAGGTCGTGGGTGTCTGTGAGTTCAATGCCAGCCTGGAATACAAAGGGACTTCCAGTACTTTCAGGATGGTTACATAGAAAACCCTTGTTACAATGTCCAGTACCTTTCTGATAGCCTGCAGTGTAATTCAATC